ATTGATTACTCTGTTTCCTTTGTGGTTCCTTCTTGAAAACTGCTATCATTTTTTTTCTATGGTCTTTAAGAGGTTTCATTATCTTTTCTTGTTCTCCAATTTCTGAAGAATGTGTATGGAGCTCCCTCTTCGCTGGTTCCTTAAGGTTTAGCCTGAAGGGAGGGAGGACAGGAGTAAGGGAGAAATGGGAGTGAAATGTCCCAGTCATGACTACTTGACCCAGGCTTTGTTTTTGCATGTGATGTCTCCATCTTCTGAACAATGTCTGGAAATTTTCTGCAAATGAAGCTTTAAGCTCAGCTGGCTAATAATTAATGAAAACCAGAATGACATACTTTGCAATCTTAGTGGTAGTTACGGTAGGATAGATGGTAGTATGGTAGGATAGATGGTAGATAGTTGTTTGCTTATTTACTTTTCTTTATTTTCTAAATCGTCTATTGTAAGTCCTTTTTAGAGTAAGAAATATTTTCAGAAAGTTGAAAGATTTCAAAATCAGCAAGTAGAAAGAGTCCTTGATAGGATATAACCTTTTCCTTACTTCCAGAGAGGCCACCAGGTCTTGCCTGACAAGGGTGGGTGTGCCGCTATGGGGCAGGCCTGAAGGGGCCAGTCACTGTCTCTGGGGGCTTCAGCCTGAGCATTGCTCTGGCTGGACCATATAGGTTCCAGGGCTCCTGGGTTCTTTCCTTACTCCTTGCCCAGCTGGATTCACTCCTGCTTGCGAAAAGCCGACAAAAACAAGGACAACAAGATGAGCTTCAAGGAGCTTCAGAACTTCTTGAAGGAGCTCAACATCCAAGTGGATGACAGCTATGCCCGGAAGATCTTCAGGGTGAGGCTGGGTCTCTGTGACAGTGGAGCCTTGATCTGCCCGAGGCCTCTTCTGAGCTTTGCCCACCCGGCTGTCCTGGCTTTGCAGGAATGTGACCACTCCCAGACAGACTCCCTGGAGGACAAGGAGATTGAGGTCTTCTACAAGATGCTGACCCAACGGGAGGAGATCGACTACACCTTTGCAGAGGCTGCAGGCTCAGGGGAGACCCTATCAGTGGATCAGTTAGTGACATTCTTGAAGCACCAACAGAAGGAGGAAGAGGCGGGGCCTGCACTGGCCCTGTCCCTCATCGAGCGCTATGAGCCCAATGAGACTGGTGAGGGCCTGGCAGTCCCAGAGTCACATGGCTGGGAGAACCCCCCAGGAGAATACAGCCAGAGGGGAGGGGTATCAGCCCCAGGGCCTCTGGGCAGCACTCGATGGCCTACAAAAGCAGGCAGATGGGAGACAGGACTCCAACATCAGTGCTCCTCCCTGGGCCTCAGTTTCCCTCTTGTTCCTCTTTCAGAGGGCCTTAAGGACCCCTCCCTGAGGTGGCTGGAAAAGGCACACTATTCCTGCCTCCTTCTGTGTGTTCATTCTGGGGCCAGCTAAGAGATGTGACAGAACAGAAAAGATGGAGCCTGGCTGTAGAGGGGCCTCCTAGCTGGGGGCACAGAGAATGAGAGGAGACCCTGCTCTCCAGGGCCTCACAGTGTGAGGACAGAAGAGGAGGAGGCAGGGCCTCCCTCTGGGGAAACCACAGTCTGGCTGGAGACAAGACTTCTCCTGCTTCCCAGAGCCATTGAGAACCAGCTGGGGATGGGCAACCAGAGGGAGGAGAGGGTTCCTCCTTCTGGAGCGGCAGCCAGCACTGACCAGCAATGGTGACCTCCTCCCTTCCAGCCAAGGCACAACACCAGATGACCAAGGATGGCTTCCTCATGTACCTGCTGTCAGCTGATGGCAACGCCTTCAACCTGGTGCATCGGCGAGTCTATCAGGACATGAGCCAGCCGCTCAGTCACTACCTGGTATCCTCCTCACACAACACATACCTGCTGGAAGACCAGCTCACTGGCCCCAGCAGTACCGAAGCCTACATCCGGTGCGGTCCAGGGAAGCCTTAGGGGGTGGGAGCTTTGGTGGGACTCAGGACAGGACCTGGAGGATCCTAGCTGCCACCCCTACTCTCAGGGCACTGTGCAAAGGCTGCCGCTGCTTGGAGCTTGACTGCTGGGATGGGCCCAACCAGGAGCCGATCATCTACCATGGCTACACCTTCACTTCCAGGATCTTCTTCTGCGATGTGGTCAGGGCCATCCGGGACTATGCTTTCAAGGTGGGCGTACCCCTGCAGGTGGGGAGGGGATGCTAAGGGCAGCAGGCCCTCCTAACATGTGCTTGGGCCTCCAGGCCTCCCCCTACCCAGTCATCCTGTCCCTGGAGAACCACTGCAGCCTGGAGCAGCAACGCGTGATGGCACGACACTTGCATGCCATCCTGGGGCCCATGCTACTGGACCGGCCACTGGATGGAGTTACCAGTAACCTTCCTTCCCCAGAGGTATGGGGGGGGTTGCCCAGAAAAGAGGGCAGGAGACTGGCTGGGAGGCCAGGTGGGCCCTGACCAGTTGCCCCTCCACCCCTAGCAACTAAAGGGGAAGATCCTGCTGAAGGGGAAGAAGCTTGGGGGGCTGCTACCCCCTGGAGGGGAAAGTGCCCCTGAGGCCACTGTGTCAGATGAAGATGAGGCTGCTGAGATGGAAGATGAGGCCGTGAGGAGCCGGGTGCAGCACAAGCCCAAGGTTCAAGGGGGAGCTGGAGGGGAGGGGCAGCCCCAGGGCCTTCCCCACCCCCACAGGGCATTCGCCTTGTCTCAGTTCTCTGTGGCTGCCATTCAGACCCTCTGCCCCTTCTCTCTGTCTGTCTCCTACTGTCTCTGCGTCTGGGTTTCTGGCTCTCAGTGCCCACCCTGCCCAACCCCTGGCTCTAACCTGGGCCTCCCCACGGCCCCCAGGAGGATAAGCTCAGACTGGCACAGGAGCTCTCTGACATGGTCATTTACTGCAAGAGTGTCCACTTTGGGGGCTTCTCCAGTGCTGGCCCCTCAGGGCAGGCTTTTTATGAGATGGCATCCTTCTCTGAGAACCGTGCTTTCCGCATGCTCCAAGAGTCAGGTGAGTCCCTCCCTGCAGACAGAGGGTGCTGCCCACCTGCCTGACCATCTGGGCTGGCCAGGGCTGGTCCTGGCCTCTCCCTGCTCTGGCGAGCCCCACTGCTGACTGAACCATACTTCCCTTCAGGAAGCAGCTTTGTCCGCCACAACGTGGGCCACCTGAGCAGGATCTACCCGGCTGGATGGAGAACAGACTCCTCCAACTACAGCCCTGTGGAGATGTGGAATGGGGGCTGCCAGATCGGTATGAGCCAGCTGGGGCTGGAGGAGCCTGGAGTAGAGCTCCAGTCCTGAGACCAGGGGTGTGGGGCCTTCAATAAGAGGCCTGGGGACCTGACCAGGATCAGATGCAGAAGTGTGTGGAGCTGGTGAACTGTTTGGAAATATCTCCCTACGAGCAAGTCAGTGTCTGAAAATACACAATTAGCGCCCCAGCCCTTGGAGTTTTGCCACCAGATAGAGTGTTCATGGCTACTGTGGTGAGTCAAGTTGAGGTGGCAAGAGAACACTAGGCATTGAGTGACATTGGATTCTGCTTCTGACTCTCCCTGGGACCCCAGGCCTCATCGTGTCCTAAGCAGGCTGGCCACTAGGGCCTCGAAGCCACCCCACAGTCTGTGACTTCTCTGTTCTGCCTGCAGTGGCCCTGAACTTCCAGACACCTGGGCCAGAGATGGATGTGTACCAGGGCCGCTTCCAGGACAATGGAGCCTGTGGGTATGTTCTGAAGCCTGATTTCTTGAGAGACCTCAACACCACCTTCAGTGCACGTGCTCTGACCCAAGGGCCCTGGTGGGCTCCAAAGAGGCTCATTGTGAAGGTACAGCCAGACCCAGACCCAGGAGGGACAGGTACCTGTGGTCCTCCCTTCCTCCTCACTGCCATTCCTGAACCCTTAATTATCCACCACCTTTCCTCAGGTCATCTCAGGGCAGCAGCTGCCAAAAGTCAACAAGAATAAGAACTCAATTGTGGACCCCAGGGTGACAGTGGAGATCCATGGTGTGGGCCGGGACATGGCCAGTCGCCAGACTGCTGTAATCACCAATAATGGTACGTGCTGAGTCTGGGCTGGGCCCGGCTCCTGGAGCTGATGTCCATGCTGTTGATGTATGGTGCCTGTCCCTCTAGGCTTCAACCCACGGTGGAACACAGAGTTTGAGTTTGAGGTGGTTGTGCCTGAGCTTGCCCTCGTCCGCTTTGTGGTGGAGGACTATGATGCCTCCTCCAAGAACGACTTCATTGGCCAGAGCACCATCCCCTGGCACAGCCTTAAGCAGGGTGAGTATATGGGTGTGGGGATGGCCACACTTGGGGAGGCAGGGCCTGGCTTTCTTTGGGCTGAAACTGGCTGTGCCTTGGCACATCCTCCCTGAGTAACTGGAACTCTCCTCCCACCCATCTGCCTGCCAGGATACCGCCACATCCACCTCTTATCTAAGAATGGAGACCAGCACCCATCAGCCACCCTCTTTGTGAAGATCACCCTCCGGGACTAAGGCATGGGGTGTCCAGTGGGATCTGCCATGAGTGGGCTAGGCCCTGTGTCCACAACTGAAGAAAGGGCTGGTGTGGCCATTCCAACCTCTGGCACTGAATTAGGGGCCCCCAAACTGCCTTTAGCTCTAACATACTGTCAATGCTGCTGCCCCTCTGGGGTCTCGGGAGCTGGCTCAGTGCAGTGCCTCCAACTTCCTTAATTCCGTTAAGAACAACACTGCAGCCCTGAACCCTTTGGCCAGCCTTAGGTTGAGAGTTTTTATAAAAATCACATTGAGAGTAAGCCTGGTGATCTCTTTACCTGGACTCAGAAAATCTCCTGGAAAGCACGTGTTGTGTCCCTTCCCCATGCTCATGGGGAGGTCTAGAGAGAGCAGCAAGAAGCAAACCCCTCTGGGGAGGACATAGCCCTCAGGGTCACATAGCCTTGTTCCCTGAGAGGGGAACCCACCAAGTGATTGGGCTTGAAGCCGCATGTACCATGCCTGGTGCAGGCCACCAGCATTTATTGATAAGGGGGATGAGGAACAGGTTCCCCCCAGGGCTCAGAAGAAACCAGCTTCTTTTTCTACTGCTGCTGCTTCCACTTGGCCATGCTGTAGAAATCTTCCTTGGATTTCCCAGAGATATCTTGGAAGTCAGAATCTGAGAGATAGAACTGGAGGATGGGGAGAGAGTGGATGCAGGGACAGGGGTCACTGGAGCCCAGAATTCTATCCCACACAAAGTTGTCATCAGGGCACCAGACTCCCACATGTGTCTAGTGCCAAGGTCACTCCTCCAGCACAGTGCTAGATGCACTGGTGCTGCAGCAGTGAGTGACAGGGTCTGGGTGCTCACCTCCTTTCGGGCAGGGTCCACACCTGGGGGCAGGTCCTCAGCAGCCTGGTGCATCAGCCGTTCCCGGGGCAGATTCCCACTGACTGGTGAGCTGGTGTCACTGACACAGCTGCTGGCATTTGTCCTGGTGCTGGTGATCCTAGTACTTGTCCTGGGGCCCAACTCCAGCTCCTATGAGCTGTCCTGGGAGCCCTTGAGGACCAGCAAGGCTGAGGGACCTGCCCTCCTATTGCCTGGCCATTGGGATGGCCCAAAGTTGTTGATTTTCTGTCCAGAGAGGGGCTTCAGGCTGGGGTAGAGTGGAATAGGCAGCCCACAAAGAGGTCACACTGAACCCCCTCGCCTCTTGCCCCTGACTGCAGTGCTGCTGCCCACCATTGCCTGGCCCCTCCCGCTGTCCACCGTCATCCATGCCATCTGAGCCCAGACCACTGTGGGGGACATCCAGGGTTCCCAGTACTCACCGCTGTTATCTCAGAGATGGCAGACCCTGTTCCCAGGCTTCCCTCCATCACTTCTTCATGGGACTGGTCGTTCTAGGGGTAAGAATCAGGACAACTATCAGGACTGAGGCAGGAGGGGACCCACAAGGACTTGAGGATGAAAGTAGGTCTCCTTCATACGTGCTGGAGGCCCTTCACCAGAATGTACCCTCCCCCAAATTAGAGTGGGGCCGGACATTTCAGGCCTCACTCACCATCCACTTGTAGCAGTCCCAAGTGAAGAACCACCCTGTGAAGGTGGGAGGCTCATGGCCCTGCTTGACCAGCACAATGGGTACGGCCAGGTTCCTCCCTGCTGGATGAATCTTCAGGTATTCCCAGCCCCAGGCCACTGCCTCCTTCTGCTCACCTGAAGCTTTTCCAAGCCACAGGAAGACCTGGGACACAGAGAGGGGCTAACCTTGGGCAGGTGGACTGGCTGCCTGGAGCCAACCACCTCATCCACTTCCCTGTCTGTCAGGTGGCCTCAGATCCTTCATGCACATCCCTGGCCAACCAAACACAGCCAGCAAGCTGCCCACACAGGAATGTCACAGGCATGCATACACTCTGCAAAGCTTTACCAAGCCCCCTTGTGTGCCACGCACTGGGGATTCAACAGTGAAAAAACTAGGCAAAAATCCTTGCCCTTGTACAGCTTTCATGAGCAAATTACATGTTTGTCTAGGAGAAAGCAAAGAAGTAAAAGGTGAGGTACCTGACATGTTCAGGGAACAGCAAGGGAGCCATAGAGGCTGGAGCAGGAGCGAGGCGGATAGTGGGAGGAAATCAGGCCAGAGCTGGGCTGGCCAGGTCATGTGGGGCTTAGTAAGGGCTTGAGTTTTTCTCTGGGTTAGACGAGAGCCCACAGCCTCCTCACTAACTCCCAGTGCCACAGGCACAGCCCCACACAGGTGTACTGACACAGACACACACTCATGCGGCTACACACGAGACCGGTCACACTTGATTAGCAGTCACACACAACCAGCCAGTTTCACCACTGTAAAGTCACACAGAAACACAACTGCACAGATACAAACAGACCCACTCAGTCCCTCACACCCACAGCTGGTCACATGGTGTCCCCCTCCCCCACGGTCTGGTCAGTTATAACTAGTGTGGGCAGTTCCAGTCACTGGACCTCAGTCACGACAGTCACTGACAGTGTGACTGTGGTCAGTCTTACACACAGCCATATACACAGAGGCAAATGCGCAGTCACATAGACTCCTCACAGATACGTGGTCAGTCCTTCCACTGACAGTCACTCAACACTGACACGTGTTCAGCCACGGACGTGCAGTCACCTGGACTCACATGCAGTCTGAGCGTATGCAGACTACACATTTGGTCACAATCACCCGAGTTCCAGCTCACAGTCATAGGTTCTTGCAGTCTCGCTGCTGTCACACAGTGATACAGACTCATCCATGGTCTGCCGCTGCACAATTGCAGACAGCTGTGATGTTACACATCACACAGACTCACGGTCTTGTGTGCAGGATCAGGTGGCTAGACACACACCCAGTTGTATAAATACAGATACACCCCAGCCAGCCAAGAGTAGTTTCATTACCTCCTGCCAGGTGCCCAGGTCCTCTTGGCCAAAGAACACCACTTCTGTGAGGACCAGCAGCCCATCTGGCTTTGACACTCTTAACAGTCATGGCTGGAAACTGGAGGCCTCAGGGAACCTGGCCAGCGTGGGTAGCAAGGTTGTAAGGAGAGTCAAGGGTGCTGCTCCTCCACGGACTGAAGGGGTCCCCAGTCCAGGACAGGGAAGCAACTTCTCTGAGGTCTGACTTCTACCAAACCATAATTCCTCCAGGAGCACCCTGCTCCTCTCTGGTTTGCAGGGTCCCTTTCTGTCAACGGAGAAGGCAGATCAGGTGACCTGTCCAGCCCCAGCCAGCTTTGGCACAAGCTGCCCTGTAACTTTCCCAGTAACTGGCATTAGGAAAGGGGGTAGCTGGCTCAGCAGGTAGGTCCTGAGCTGCGCCCCCCCCCACCACCACCACCACCACTTCTGGGATGGGAGGGTCCCCTGGACATACCCCTAACAGGAAGCTGGCTTCAGGTCCAGGGTAGAAGGAGGAAAGCTAGGCTGGGTGGGGCATAGTGGCACTGCGCTCAGGAGACTTGGGGAGGAGTGTGATGCAAAGTCTTAGGCTGCACAGACACAAGAGCGCCCTGAGTCGCAGTTCCCCCTTCCCTGGAGCCCTCACTGCCTCTGGCCCTTTGCCTGGAACAGAGACAATGCAGGGAGTAGATTCTGCCAGCAGAGGGCAGTACTGTCCAGCTAGCCTGTGCATCCTGATCCAAGTTACCCAGGATGGCAGTGAAGTCTGGGCTTTGCTCCTGAGTCCTGGGGGTGGAGGGCTGGAGTCCTCGGTTCCTGTCATATCTCTCCAGCTCTTCATGCAACCCTAATTAGTGACCCACACTTTCTGGGCCTTGGTTGCTCCTCAAGGTAAAAACACTTTCCTCCCAAACCTGTTACCTCTTGCTGGGGTAGGGGGTCCCGCCCTCTCAGCACCTCCCAGAAGTGGGGAGGCTCCTGACCCTCCAGAACAGTTTCCTTGTTATTTGCGGAGATGACAGTGACCGCCATCCTCACCATCTCACTTTGGTTACCGTTACAGCCCTGGCAAGCACAGAGCTGGATAAGCCCTGCAGGAGGCCTACTTTTAGCTCTATCCTACATCCCACCCTAAGCTGACACTGGGGCATGCATGAGCAAGGGATCTCCTTTCCTTCCCCACCGGCCCTCAGTTTCCCTCCTTGTTCCAGCTCACGGGATCTGGAAGCCTCTCTGGATCCCGAGTATGGATAGGACACCCCCACCCCCACTCCGGGGATTAGTGTTAATCATGGTGCATGCCAGAGACCAGAGAAAACTCCAGCAAAATAGACTAGGCCTCCCTCCTTCTCCCAAGAGACTTAGAAGGAGCATGCTTGATGTTCAAGGCAGGAAGAAGAGGAGGCACCTTCTGCCAAGCCCTAGGGGACTCCCAGGTCCACCTGTCACTTTCTTCCTTTAACCCCACTGGCCTATCCTTGGTTGAACGGGAAGCTTGCATCTGGTGGAGGGGACCCATCCCAGTCTGACACCACTGTCCCAGGTGTGAGTCAAATGGTCAGTGCTGCAGGTACCTTCCCAAACCCGAGGTAGCAAGTATCAGCTGTGACCAGCAAGAAGATGTCACTGGAGCTGAGGGATGAGGCCTGAGCTGCTACTTCTACGGTCTTGGTGTTGTGGCTCTCGGTGCCTTGTACATGGAAGAGCCTCGTGGTGGATGCTGGCTTCCCCCTCCCATTGTCTCCAGTGATCTCCTAGAAGAGGGCTGGGCCTTAGGCTAAGGCAAGGGCTCCTGAGAACCACCTCCCTATCCCATGGGGACCAATCGCCTCAGAGCTCAGAGTCCCATTGTCTTCTGGACTCTTTCTAAATGGATCCTTCACCCCATCTGGTCAGGATAGTTGCTCAGACCTTGAAGGTAGAACACATGACCTCTTTTGGCTTAACTTCCTGGCCTGTGGTCTTGCTTTGTGCATATCCCTGGGAGCAGGGAAAGAAACTCAGGTAGGGGTCACCCTAGGAGCTTCCTGGCCTGGAACAAGCACCAGGACACCAGGGGCTGGAAAGCTGGGCTCCAGGCCTGAAGAGAAGGTACATAGCAAGTGGATGCAAGGCAACAGGCACATGGAAGACTGGTGAAGCTGCCACCACAGTGGCAGAGTGGACCCTACCCGGAAGACCACCAGCTGACCCTGGAAGATGGCAAGGAAGTGGGGGGGCTCACTGCTCATGGTCACATGCATCTGCAGCAGGGCTCCCTGGTACATGAGGTCCAGCTCCTCAGCATTGCAGATCAGTGCCTTGTCATCTGCAGTGGCCTGGTGGCCCTGTGGGAGTTGAAGGGTGACAGTCTGGTGCAGTTTACATATCCCATTCATTCTCAGATCCTAGTTCTTGGGCTTTAAGGTGTGCCCCACTTCCTCAGGTTAGCGCACCTGCCATAGGTACAGGATGTACTAGACGTGGTCTAGCTTCTGGTATGTGTAGAGGACAAGGTAGCAGCTGCCTGAGCTCAACTGGCCATGATGCTTGGGGTCCACAGGCTGCCTGGCTAGATTCTGGTTGCACCACATCTGAGGAGTAGAGGACCAGCGGCCACAGATGTCTCCTCTACCTGTCCTAGCCTGCCTGTCTGCACCAGCCAGAAAGCTCTCCTTGGCTCATAGGCATTTCTTATCTGTGTGGCCATCCACACAGGGCTCACCCCAGCTCTGTGCCCTCCCCATGCTTTGTGCTGGATCTGCAGGTGACCCTTCCCTCGTGGACCCCACACCGGTGCTGCCTGCATTCAACTAGGACTCTGAGTTTGTGTGTGGTACCTGGGTAGACAAGTGGTGAGGACTCTGGAGGCTGCAGGATGGCCCAACCCTTGTCCTATGTCCACCCCCAATCCTGACCCCACCAGCCACCGCCCTGGAGAGGAGCAGACAGGTCCCTCCACAGCTGCTCACTTCTCAGGCCAGGGCAGCAGGAGTGAGGCTAAAGTGAGGCCTAGGAGCTCTGGGGAAAATTCCCATCTTTCTTTTAAGTATCATTTTTTAAAAATGAAGCTTGCTTAAAGACTTGAAATGTAATCACTTCCTTAGAATTGTCAGTGTAATTTCTTGTTCCTGTGGGGTAGCCACACATGAGCCTTGTAGCCTGCAGACCCAAGACAAAATCCCTGGTCTGCACAGGTTGGCAGTAAGACCATGCTAGGCTTCAGTTTTTCCTACCTGCAAATGGGGATCACAGTGCCTACTGCACTTTGCCTCTGCAGGCAGGGACACAATGCCTGGGCATCCGTTAGCCATGCACAGCCTGAGAGCTTCTCAAGAGAACTCCAGACTAGGGCATCTAAAACCCTGACTTTATCAGAAGAGGCTAACCCAGACAACATACCAACCAAGAGTGTCACTTAGCTGGCAGTCAGGCCTCCTGGCTCAGGCCCTCTCTGCTTGCCATGCATCTGCCTTTGGGCTCGAAGCCTCCCTTACTTCTCCATTTTCCTGCCTCTCTCTCCCTGTCTATCCTCTCTCTCTCCTGATCCCCTATTCCTCTCTGTATACCCTCATTTCTCCCTTCTCTTCCTCCACCCTATCTCCTTCTACCCTCTCTGTCTTCTCCCTTCTTGCTGCCTTCGAAGTCTCTTTACCCATCCACTCCCATCCCATCTTCCTCTCTCCCTGTATTTCCCCCTTGCCCTTTCTCTTCCTCCTCTCTAGATTTCTTCCTACTTACCACCTCTGTCCATCCATATTGGGGCAAATGCAGAAGGAAGCTTGTATTTCTCTGACCTCAACTTGAGAACTGGGACCCAGTGGTTCTCTTCCCATAATCACACAGCCCTGAGGCCAGATGGGACCTGACCTCATTTTATGGAGTTATGGTCTCATATTATGGGCCTCAGTTTCTGTCCCTGTTTCATGGATTTTAAAACTGAGGCCTTAAGGAATTAAGGGCTCTACCTACAGGTCAGCCAACAAGCCAGGGTACAACTTACTGTATGGAGACTGGGAGTGGACCCCAACCCTGCAGCTTCTGGATACTGGTTTGAAACCATATGAATGGTTGACAATTTATGACAGTTTGTGTGTTGGCAGCTGAATGTGGGGTGCTGTGAGAGATTATGTGTTGGTGTGTCCCCATGAGTTGATGGTTGTATGTGACTGTGCACATGTGTGATATAGTATTGTGCAATTTCAGCTTGCAGTTATGCATCTGCTTGTGGCTGCACAATTACAAGGGGTATCTGTGTCCGTGTTGTCACTTGTACAGGTTTGTTATACATATGATAACAGGGCAGTTACGTGCCCGAGTGTTATTCTGTGTTGTGTGTCTGTGCAGTCACAGACTGTGAGTGAGTGGTTGTGACTGTGAATGACTAGGCACGACTAGGTATTGGCCAGCTGTTAGGGAGTGTGTATGTACACGTGTCCCATAGATGTCCCCAGTTGTGTGTGGATGTGCACGTGGGCGTCCCAGTCGTGTTAGATAGCTGCCATGCCTGCCTACCCCTCTGCACACATCTCCCCCATTAAGCCAGTGCCCCTTACCTCTACCTTCCCAGAGCCGTCGTCCACCATCCTGATCTGGGCCGCTAGTTCAGGCTGGCTGTGTAGCTTTCCCACATCCAGCTTTACCTGGATCAATTTACCTGAAGGTGGGAGGGAGGTTAGTGGTGCTTCCAGCTCTCGTCTCCGCCCCGCCCACTCGTCACCTTCCCTCTGACACTCTGGGACCCGCCCCGCTCGGTCCACACCCCTTAATTGGCCAGCATAGGTTCTTGGCCCCACTCCGGCCAAGCTCCGCCCCTCCTCTAACTCCTCCGCCAGCGTCGCGCGCGGGTTCCTGCCAGGCCCCGCCCCAGCTGCTAGGCTCCTCCCCCTCCACCCAAGCCCCTCCCGCCCGTCTCGCTCTTTCCCAAGTGCTCACCTGTCCCGCCAGGCTTTTTCCTGCCCAGATCTTTAGACCACGTCCGGAGGAGCTGCATGAACGCGGCCGGCTCGGCGCCGTCGTTCACCACCTCCACGCTAGTGCAGTTTGGGTACCCCTTGGCCTTGATGAAGCCCTGGGACGGGAGCTGTTGTCACACCTGCGGCTCTAGGGCCCTCTGCTTCGCTCCGTCCCCCGGGACTTCCTGCTCAGACTGCCTGAACTGGCAAGCTCAGAGAAATGTTAATTAACCAAGCTCAGGACACATTTAACAGCCGATGCTGTAACTACTGACTTCTCTAAGGTCCCTGAGGGCCCTCTCAGTCCTAGCCTGGGGAAGAGCCGACTATGACAATCCCCGCGGACCCGATCAGAGCCCCCTCAGCACCTCACCTCCAAAAGAGGGGGGGGCTCCTCCAGAAGCCTCCCCAGCCATATCCCCCTTACAGATATGGTGTTTCAGGTGCCACCTGGTCTCTCTCTGTCAGGGATCCTAGGGCAGGATTAGGCATTTCTGACCCCAGGGCAGGGCTCCCTCCCCTCTGAGACCCCAGGGTGTCACGTTCCCCAACTCAAACTGCAGGGGAGGCCCCAGGGTAGGCTACTCCCTGCCAAAATTCAGGGTAGGCTGCTTCCCTAATCAGCCCCCAGGACATGCTGTGTCCTTCTCAGACAAAGCCCTGGGGCCTCACCACAGCCCTGCTAAAGGCAGCCATTTTCTCCAGGAGGCTGGACCTGCGCCGCTGCCATATGTAGATCTTGAAGCCACACCGGTCCAGTATGTAGCAGTCCTAGGAGCGAGGGTGGGACTGGTCAGTAGGGGTTCAGACTGGGACTGCCGTTACAGGGTGGGGATGCATGAGGGGCCTGGGGCCAGGCCTTCCTCACCCTCTGAAGTAGGTCCTGGGTCAGTGGGCAGATCGCCAATTCTTGGACTACCAGGTCCTTGCCCCTCTCATAGACACTGGGAGACAGGCATGTAGGTTTGGGCTAATCAGCCCTTTCCTGGATTGTCTCTTCCCCAGCCCCCTTTAATACTTCCATATCTCTAGAGACAGAAGTGTGGGGCTAGAACCCTGATTTGTTGCCTTGCTGAGTAGCCTTAAATGCCTTCTTGACCCCCACAGGGCCTTAGTCCACCTTCTGTACAGGGGTCTCAGGAAGGCTGCCACACATCATGCAAAACACAGTCTAGGCCAGGGATTTAGCTCGGTGGTGCCTCACTTGCCTTGCAAGCTCAAGGTCCTGAGTTCGATCCCCGGTTCCAAAAAAAAAAAACACAGGCTGGGCCCAAGGTCCCACCTGATCCATCCCAGAAACCCACCTGATTTTTCTGAAGGGCCTTCTAGAGATGCTGTTATTGCAGTAATGATGGACAAGCAGTCCTGCACTGTCCCACCCAGCCTTTCTTCCCCCAATCCTGGTCACTGATAGAGTCGGACATTGGCCTTCTGCAGCTGGTTGATAGTCTTGTTGGGCATAGCAGCCTGCAGGCTGCCAACTCGGCAGCCCAGCACAGCTTCCATGATCTGCATGAGGTCACTGGCTTCAGCCTCATCATTCACCACACCAATCTGTGCACAACCACCACTCTCCCTGTCCCGGATGCTGCAGGTCAAGGCCAGGCCCTGGGGGAGAGGACCTGCAGTCAGGGCTTCCCAGGCATCCTCTCAGCCTCTCAGACAGCCCATCCCAGATCCTTTCTGTCACTACTCAGCTTACAGAAGCAGGAAAGGAGGGAAGGGAAAGCTGGTGTTCCCTAATTCCGGCATCCAGGATGCTACGACCAGTGCAAGATTGAACTCAACTTGTACCTAGTAGGTGCTTTCTGAGTTGTGGTGGAGGGCCCAGCCCATGTCTTGGGGTGGCCAGAGGATGGGCATCTGGAGGACCATGCCTCTCCTCAGGCCATGTGCAACCAGTTCCCAGGGAAGACACTGACCCGCAGAAATGCTGGTCTCCGGCCCATTCCACTGGATCATCACTTTGCCCAGGTCCAACAGGAAGATGTCACCCTTATTGAAGCTGTTCCAGGACAGCTCCACCTGCCAGACCCAAGGAGGGACAGAGAGGGAAACAGGTGTATACCTCTAGCACTCCTTAGAGGGGAGCACAGCTGGAGTGTGTCACTGGTGTGCATGAAACTGTTGTGTAACAAGGTGTATGTGCGACCGTGAAGTCACCTGTCACAACGTGGAGGCATATGTCTGTGTAACCACATGTGACCTTGAGGATCATTTTGTGTTGCTGCATACAACTCTCAGCATGTGTGACTGGAGGTAATGCAGGTCTGTCACTGTACATATATACATGTATGTGCATGTAGTGGGGTGTATGTATCTGCTTATCTGTGTACATATTCACACACATATCCGATATGAACACGTGTGTGCTCATCATGACAATATATGTGTGCCTCTGTGGGAACAGTGTACACCTATGGATAAGTGTAGTTATGCAAACAGAGACACTTTTGAGGACAAGAGGGGGCACTTCAATTATGCCAGGATAATAGGCAAAGGCTTGGGGTTGCATGTGTCCCTGCATGACCAGAGATGTATGGTCACTGGACTGTGGGTGACAGTGCAGAGCCTCTAGGGGACTGTCTGCATGTCACAGGGCTGCCAAATGCTGTGTGGGCTGTAATATGCACAACCGAAGGGTCACAATCTACATCGTGGACACTGTACACCTGAATGGTCTTTACACCAGATTCAGGCCAGATGGCAGCAGCATGTCTTGCTCTAACATTATCAGAATCTTCTATTAATTTCCTGACAGTTGGAAGTATGAGGCACTCTGTGCTAATTTGTACAAGAGCATTTCATGGACCAGAGAAACCCCTGGGATGATAGAAACCAACAGTGAGGGCATGAAGGTGACACTGATAATGTGTGTGAGAACTGTGCACTTCCTCCCCAAATATGCTACCTCCTCTTCTCCTGCTTAAAAGGGCCAGGTGTAAAATCTTTTCTGCCTCACTTACCCAACTGGTTAATGTGCCAGGGAGACAGAAGAGGAAACAGAAAGTCCAGGGAGCAATGGCAGAGATGGGCCGAGAAGCCTGGCTCTGCCTTTTCTCTTCTCCTTAGTCAAGATAGGCCACCTGGGAGCAATGATGGCTCTGCCCTCAATACTGCCCACCAACTTCCACACTTCGTCATACTTCATTCACCACACTCCGCCCAAGCTCAGTCCACACGTCAGTGACATCCTTGGTGGCCCTCACCTGGGTAGCAGACACATGCTTCCTCCCTATGATGTGCAGCAGTCTCTGGATATTGTACATATTGGTCTCCACATGCTTGAGGTCAGGTCCTGGGCCTCCCTCCCTGTAGCTGAGGAGGGAACAGGGTCCCATGTAGAAATACACACTGCCATGTTCAGGAATGGGTATAATATGCACATGCAACGCAATATATGCAATACGCACATATATGCATGGGGGATACCATGTGCCTGTTAAATACATGCATTTGAATAGATTTGAATGCACGTATGTGTAAATACATGGGTGCACACATGAGGCATGAATATGCATTTGTTTATCCATGTGTAGAGATATGGACACAAGCACATATACATACATTTAGTGTATATATGTTTACCCATGTGAATCCAGACATGAATACATAGAAGAAGGTAACAGCATATATGTGTGTGGCTGAGCATGAACATTCATGTATGTAATGTAAGTGTGCCCATCGTCAGGTAGACATGTATAAGGGATGGTGTGTGTTCCTGTATGTGCACATATACTTGTGTCTTGTGTGTATGTGTTCCTGTGTACACTATTTGAACATATTAGGCCTAACTACACAAAACAGAAATGATCAAAATATACTGCAATTTTTAATTTTAAAAAATTTGAAGCAATTTACAGTAAAGACATATTTCCACCAGAATAGAAATATAAAAGCAATTTCAATGCAGGATTGGTGTCCACTCCTAGGCCCAGTAAGTCACCAATTTATGAACAGGTTCCATTCCAGGAGAACGTTTGTAAGTCAAATTCATTTGTAAGTCTGACAAAGTGAGTCTTCTACACCTTTAAACACACATATACAATGCATATTGGTTTGCACTTCCTAGCGGTCCCCTCCACATCACCACTGCTTTCCCTCTTGCTTCTGGACATCCTGGGCTCTGACTGGGTACTGTACAGTATCGCATTGTACACAGCAGGACAACTGTGACAATGTCCAGCAGACATGTGAGCAACTTCTATGATTTGTTCACATCTACGAATGTTTCTAATGCAGGTCTCTTCATGCCTGTGAACGTTCACAACTCAAATGTTCATAAATTGGAGACTTACTGTACATACTCAAGAGAAATGAAAGAATTTGTCTACAAAAACCTGTATGCAAATGCTTGTAACAGCATTATCAATAACAGCTAAAATGTGGAAACAACCCAAATGCCCATTAAGTGATAAATAGATAAATAAACATGGTATATCAGTACAATGAAATATTGTTTGATAACAAAAAATTAAGTTAATAAAACATTCTACAGAACAAATAAACCTTGAAAACAGAATACTAAAGGAAAAAACCATACAAGACCACACTTTGGACGGTTCCATTTAGAAGACATGTCCAGAATAGACAAATGCATAGTCACAGAGTAGACTAGTCGTCACCTAAGGCAAGGGGAAGAGGAGTGCTGGAGGGAAATGGACATGACTGCTAAAATGTTTGGGGATTCTTCTTAGGGTGATGAAAATTGCTAAAACTGATTGTGGTGATGGCTGCACAAGTTGTCTGCTGTGCAAGCGCAAGGACCCGAGTTCGATCCCAGGTACCAAAAAAAAAAAAAAAAAAAAAAATCACTGAATTGCATACTTAAAATAGGTGGATTGTATGGTATATGAGTTGTATCTCAACCAGTTCCCCCCCCACACACACATCGCATTTAGTAAATGAGGGATAGTCACCCCACAACAGCCCCTCATAAGCACTGACTCTGCCCCTCTGTCCTTTCCTTCCCACCTGCACTCACATGACTCCAGCATGGAAATAGCTGTGGAAACAGTCAGACTCATGGCCCTGTGCTTCTCGATGCTGCACCATCTGGTCACCCAGTGCCTCTTGCAGGCACTGCATGAAGGCACCTGCAGCTCCCTTGGTCTCCACACTTGCCTCCTTTCCAATCCAGTAGTGCAGTTATCTAGATACTTCCTGTGTGGCCTTTGGACGCTGGGGAACCTAGGGTTCAGGTGTTTGTGTATATGGGGGCGGGCAGAGGAGTAGGGGTGGAGAAAGGGCCCAGGCACCAATACCCGGAGGGAAAAAAGGCTGAGGATTTCCAGAGGGTCACTGAGGAGACATGAAACAGGTGCTTTCTCCGACAGGAGATGATGAAGAGCAGAGCTCAGCAGCCACAAGGCCGCAGCCCACTGTCAAATGTGATTCTAGGGCTCTCTACTTGCGTCTCCCCAGGGCAGAACTTATGTCTGCACCTTGGTCTCCCATGCTGGGCCATGTCACACCCTCAAGACAGACTCCCTCCCTAAGTGACTCACAAGGAGGATGATATAGCAGTGCTCCTCAAAGAAGTTCCCATAAGCCCTCTCAGGTACTGGCACCATCTTCAGGTTCTGGGAGAAGAGGGCACCCAGTGACAACTCAGAGATTCCTGTACCCATGACCCCCACATGGAGGCGGGGGAGGAGGGAGCATTGAGTTGGGGGTGTGAGAAGCCAAGTTTCAGTGACCCCACACTCTTCCAGGTCACCAGCTGGGCTGTCTGATTGTGGTCCTCACCTCAGTGATCCATATGTGGAGCTCTCTTTGGCTGTCAATGGCTGGGAGGTCTTTGTTAACGTTCATTCTAGGCCAAGCAGGAATGAGGTGGGAAACAGAGAACAAGAGCCACAGTCCTTAGGTTGGAAGCCAACCCATGGCCACCTGTACTCTGGGCTTGCCACAAGAATTCTCCCCACCTGCAGCTCTCTATAGTCTAAAATCTATAGTTTACATTTAGGATGTCCAACAGAAGTCTGTTTGTGTGGTTGGAAGGTGAATGGCTCATGGGGGTGCTATAGTCATCAGTGCATTAGTCCATAGATGAGTTCAGCAGTTGAGTGTGCTGTTAAGAGTTGGTCATGCTTTCTAGAGGAATGACCTGGAAGGGTGTATCTCCCTCCCCTGCTCCTCCCTTCTCTCTCTGCTTCCTGACCACCACAGTGTGAGCAGATTTTCCTTTGCGTCAGGCCCTTCCACCATGTCATTTCTGCATTTGAACCTGACAACCATGGACTGAAACTTCTGAAACTGTGAGCCAAAATAAATCTGTCCTCCTTTACGTTATGAGGGTCAGGAATTGTGCTCCTGTGATAAGAAAGTGTTTAAGACATTCATAGAACATGACTTTCATTAGGAAGGCTCTGTAAATGTGCCCATGTCAAGAAACCAGGCTAGGTACTGAGGATCAGCCTGTAGAGGTTTGCAACTAGGGACCTAGTTTGTCTGTAGATATGCTCTTAAATCAGAGCTGACATCTCTGGACAGGGGCAGGCATGGAAGCCAGCAACACTGCAAACAGACAGGGAGTTAGAAACAGGCTATGCAGACAAACACAGGATCTGCAGTCAAGAACAGTCACTGTGGACAGTGGTAGTGTAGCAGACTGGCAAAGTCTATATCAAAATGAACAGATCCAGCAGGCAGAGACGGGTTCTGCACACAGGGACAGCCTCTTGAAATGGGACTCAATCCTGCAAAGATAGGTTCTGCACTCAAGGGTTGAGCTGCAAATAGACATAGGTCTTCCAAAGTTAGGATCAGCCTGTGTAAACAAATACAGAACCCACAGAGTGTGACAGGCTATGTAGACAGAAAAAGGCTCTGCAAACAGGCTTTGGCTTTGCAGACATGGATAGCTTCCCCAATTGCAACTGGTTCAGGTTCTTCTGATGAAAATGAATTCTGTCAACAGAGACCATCTGCGTGTACAAGGACAGCCTATGCCAACAAACACAAGTGCCACCAAGGGAAATTCAGACAGTCTTGGCAGGCAAGTGAAGACTGTGAACATGGCTGAAGGGTCTGCAAACAGTCACAGGTTCTGCAGGCAGGTAGGAGACTTACAGACTGGGAAAGGTTCTGCAAAGGTGGACAGGGACAAGACCTTATGACAGGGATTCTGCATAAGAGATAGACTCTGCAGATATGGACAGATATGTATGTAAACAACCTGTGCAAATAGGTGCTACATCTTGGCCAGTGAAAGCACACCAAGACAGAGGCAGGCTCTTGAACTAGCCAAAGGCTCTGTAGACATGGACTGACTCTATATGCACAATAGCTTCTGTAAATAGACTCAATTCTTGGGAGTCTGGGAGATGGGAACAGGCCAGAAAAACAACCATGATCTTTGTATTTGGGCTGTGAAAAGACACAGACCTTCTAAACAGAAAATTCACAGATAGGCTATTTTCAGATAGGAAAAGGTTTTACAAGCCTACATGGGTTTTCCAAGTGGACAGACTCTGGTCACAGTGATGGCTTCTCCAAAGAAGAAGAAGATCTGACGAATGAGCAGCATGGAGGTCAGTTGTGTGTGCAAGTATACTTGCTCCACACATGGGCAAGATTGTGAAGTAGGGCTGGAGAGCTGTAGGGCCTGCAAACAAAGACAGGCTTTCAATACGAAGGCAAACTTGGAAACAGGTAAAAGCTTTGTAAATAAGGACAGTCTCTGCTAACAGATGCACATACAAATGGAATAGAGTATACAGCCAGGCAAAAGCTCTGCAAATGGAGATGTACTCTACGGGAAGATCCCAGTGCTCCCAAATAGACACAGGCCCCTCTGACAATGATAAACTCTTCACTGGAACAAACCCTACAAGCAGACACAGGGAAATTTCTACCCAAGGGAATTTCAATAAGCTGTACAAACGGGCAAATGTCCTATAAAATGCCACAGGTGCTACACAGGCTGCAGATAAAAGAGAGAAGAGGCTGTGCCATCAGGAACACAGTCTGGAGACAGAAACATTCATTGGAAAGGAAACAGGTTCTGCTGACAGGGATAGGTACTGTAAACAGAAAACTGCTTGGCAAACAGTGAAATGTCTTTAGGTAGAAAGAGATGTCCCAGACCAAGACACCAGACAAGCTCTATAGAAAACGATAGCTGTGCACGCAGGCAGCTGCCACAAAATAAAGCAAATTTATACACAAAGCAAGAGGGACAAACTGTTTAAAGAGACCTAGACTCTAAAAATAGCTACAGGCTCCAAGCAAAACCAGCCAGACTCTGCAGACAAGACATAAACCTGGGTCGACTCCACACACACGAGGACTGTCTCTGAACACCATGGTAAATCTGACAGCAAGCAGCAGGCTCAGCAGTCCCAAGTTCTGGGCAGAGGAGGCATGAGGACCTTGATGGGTTCTTGAGACAGGGCTGAACTCTATACACACAGGCTCTGTAAACAGCCATGGGCTTTGCAAACAGAGACTTAGCTTGAGTTTGTGCTCTGTGGTTCTGAGTGTGCAGGGAGGGAAAGAAACATGGAACGAACACTATCTGGGGAAGTCAGGGACTCTCAGGTCTGTTGATTTTTTTTCACCTCAGCATCTCATGCTCAACTACCTAAGGCTTCCCTGCATCACTCTTTCATGAACACGTGTGAGGTTCTTTCTACAACTAACCCAAATTCTTCCAGGTAGTTAGAGCTGCAGGTGGTTATCACAGCACACAGCTGCCTCCCCCTGCACCCCATGAAAACTATGAATGTTGGTTTTGGTGTCCCACACCAAGCAGAAGATTACTGAAGGCAGGGAAGTCTCTCTGTCTCTGTCTCTATCTCTGTCTCTAACTCTGTCTCTGCATCTCTCTCTCTCCCTCTCTCTCTCTCTCCCTTCTCTCTCCTCCCTCCCTCCGTCTCTCACTTCCCTTGCTGTCAGCACTGGGATTGAACCCAGTACTGAGCTACTCCCCCATCCTTTTTTATGTTTTCTAAATTTTGAGACAGGCTGGGCTCAAACTTTCCATCCTCCTGCCTCAGCCTTCCAGAGTGGTGGGATTACATACATGCACTAGGAAATGGTTGCTGAAAAGCATGTTGCCCTGTGACCAACTGAGTGAACAGCAGTGGAGAAGGGAGTTACCCATACACTCTGACTGCACCTACCATGCTCCTAACAGTTAATGGCTCACTGGTGTGACAGGCAGATACAGTGGCCACAAAACGGCGATCTAAAGCAACAGAAAGTCTGATGCCATGATAGTGGGTAGTGACATAAGATGGTGACCCTGCAGCAGAACACTGAAGGACAAGCAGAAACAATGACCAGTGGCAAGGACCAAGAACTAGGCAGGAAGTGACTTGAGGTATAGACAGACAGGGGCTGTGGGATATAACTCATGTTCGGCAGCCTCAGGTGACAGGAAGACCACGGACTAGCTTTGGGATAGTGAAAGTGAGGGTCCATGTGGGATAGGAAAGTTAAACTGGAAGCCAGAAAGTTGGGACTAAGCTAGTTTCACTGGGAGGGGGCAGCATAACCCCTAGGAGGCTGGGAAGGTGTCCCATGTCTAGTTTCATCCTGGGAAGCCAGACTCTCAGGCTGCCAGGGCTGAGGCCCCATTTCCAAGTCTCTGTGTTCACTGTTTCCAACTGGGTTTGAGGGCAGTTGGGGGAAAGGGATGTTCAAAGAGTGGGAGTGCCCTGTCTCCCCTAACACCCTCTTGTTTCCTCCAGGCTGTCCATTTCTCCTCAGGGGCCTGGCCCTTCCCCTGAGCACCTGTCCCAGACCCACAAGCCCTCCCACCCACCAATGTGTCCCCTTTCCCTTGTGGACTCCCTTCTGTAGCCTCCTCTAGCGGGGACCTCCACCCTGTGTCTTCTCTCTCTCTCCTGGAAGCCTCTTTTCTTCCCTAGGGCCCATTTCTCCCAAGTGCCCCCTTTCTCTTCCAGTGCCCCTTCTCTCCCTGTGGCCCCCCTTCCCAGGCTCCTCCTCCTCCTCTAGCCTCTCCCTCCTCTCACCTAGGTTTTCCTCTCCCCACCAGGTGCTCCCTTCCTCCTCTGAAGGGCCCCTTCACCCTCCAAGAGCCCCTTCCTGACCCCAGGTGCCCCTCTTTCTCTGCAGTGAGCCCTGCCTTACTTCCTCCTCAGGTACCTGCACAGTGCCCGTCGTGATGTTACTATGCTCAACTTCCAGTGAGGAGAGAGGGGGCTGCCAGCGGGAGGGGGAGGAAAAGGGGGGCTGGGGAGGGGGCTCAGCCACACAGACTCTGAGTATGACAGTCACACAAGCTCTGGCTTTCTTCTTCTTGGGCCGGCAACCACAAGTGCCCAACCCCCACCAGTCCTCTTACCTTCCGAGCTGCTGTAGGTCCCCCGCTTCTGCCAGCCTCTGCTCTGTAATGCTGAGCCTGGGACTCTGTGCCTCCCACCCTGGGCATGGAACAGCCCTCTCCTCCTCACTGGTTCGGTTCCCAGCCCCCTCTTGCTCAGGCCTACCTGCTGGAACCTGCTCCTGTGCCTTTGCCCTGCCTGTGGGCGGTGCTGGGCCTGGCAAGGTGCCGGGCTCTGCTTACTGTAACTCAATCCCAGTTCCTGCCCTGCAGGACACACCACACCCCTTAGTGCTCAAAGGGCTGGACATTCAATCTTAATCAATGTGTTAATCAGTCAATAAATACTGACAGAGCTGTCTAGAAGCCAGCCCCCTCCCCAAGGGCTGTCAGGCTCACCTCATTTTCTGGGTACCAGTGGCCAGAGAAAGTCTCTGTTACTGGGGTGGGAGAGTCTAGGAACTGAGTCAGTACAATCTACAGCCAGTGTATGCCTGCACTTAATAGACATGGTTGTGGTCCCAGTGTGCGGAGGGATGGTTGCATCAAAGGGTACTTGGTCCCTGTGTGTTCCTGTGCCACAGTGTGCCCATCTGGTCCCCACTTGTGACACTGCTTATCTCAACAGTGTGACTGGCTCTGTCTGTGCATACCCCATCACCTGCCTTCTTTGGCCCCATGCCCAGGAAAATTCTGTGCCCTCATGTCTTCCTACTTGCCCACCCCTTTTTCCTCCTCCGCCACTCTACAGGTCTCTGTTCTCACATTCCCTGCATATGGCTCTTTCCTAGGTCATCAGTGGGGATTGGTTGTCACTATCTTCCCTCTCACTCCAGCTGTCTCCTGAGGGGCCTCTAAATGTCAGCAGCGCAGAGCTCAGGGCTTAGTTACTGTCCCTTTTCTAGTTTCCTTCCCAGTTCCAGTCCCAAGGGTGTGAA